TCCCCCAGAGGACCCCAATCCGGGTTTTAGGGGTCAAGATGTCTGCAGAAGGGAGGACCCCCGAGAACGATGAATGGATATCAGTCTCAACCCTAGCCAAACTCTCCCAATGGGATCATCAAAACACGTCACTCTTCGGACGGGCGCTGGTTATCAACAATGTAGTCTTGACATCCCTATGGTACAAGTTTGTTCTTTGGCCGCTGAGTGAGGGTGCCTTGAAATCCCTATGGAGAGTGGCAGCCTACCTATGGAGAGGTGACAGTGAAAACCCCCATGCCATCAGCCGAGTCGCGTGGGACTCGGTTATCCAGCCTAAGACAAATGGGGGGCTCGAAATATTAGACCCCCTTACTCAATCCCAGGCCCTTAGTCTACACTGGATTGTGCGGCTGATCTTTGTAAACCCACTGGTTTGGCGACCTCTAGCTCTTCAGCAGATCGCTCGGCTTGCCCTGGAGGCTCCCCCCACAGTCCATCCTCTTCAATGGATGGATGACCGCTATCGGCGAGTGCCTCGTCGCCCCCGGGGGGAGGAGGGGCGGAGGGATGACTTCTGGCCTCGCCTGTGAAAAACCTGGAGGAGACTTCCACCCCCGAGGTGGCAAGACAACCCCTATTTGGCAACCGTTGGATCACCAACGGTCAAAGTCAGATTTTTTGTAGCTCTGAAGCCCCATGGAAAGGTTGGGTGAAGAATGGGGTAACCTGGGTGAGAGACTTGTGGAACGTTGAGAGATCGGAAGGGTCCGGAGGAGATGAAGGAAAGTCTGAGATACTGTCATAACACTGAATCGACATTGGAGGAGATCACAGAAGCCCTTCCGGTGGGATGACGGCTCATCTTGCGCAAAGGCCCACTTCTGCAGGAGGAGGACTGGGTGTCCAAGGACGGGTGGACTGATAGAGTGGGCTTAGTTCACCTGGTACGATCGGAGGAAGCATTGGTCGAATGGTATAACAAAAAGGAAGGGGGGGAGTTGATTGGAAGCCAGTATCCCTTCCAATGGAAGCATTGGTCAAATGGTATAACAAAAAGGAAGGGGGGCAATTGATTGGAAGCCGGTATCCCTTCCAATGGATATCGAAGGTGGCTCTATACAGAATTAGGATTATAGGGGAAGAGGAGAATAGGAGGGCGTTCATGCCCTGGGATGGCTGTACAAGACTTACCTATAGATCCACTGGAGTGGTGCTGGAACCATGACGTACGACATAAACCGGGACAGGGAAGCTCAACAGAGCTAGCTGACCTCTCAATGAAAGCAACCTACAAGAAGATCATAACCAAACGGTGCCTGAGGGACGTCGTAATTAACGGATGGCAGAGGTACCTCAACGTGGAAAGACAACTCCTCACGCCAATTCGATGGTTTAGTGATACCAAATGCAGACCCGACAAAATAACGTCCCTGCAAAGGCAAATACTGCATCGCTGTTTACCAGCAAACGATTGGCTGATTGATCACGCGCACCTGGAACAGCAGGGTTGGGCCCTACCTTGGTGTTCACGCTGTCTGTCGGGCTTCCCACCAAAGAAGAGAGCAGAAACAATAAAACACATCTTTCTGCAATGCCCGACAGCAGTTTCAACCTGGAGATGGTGGGATAGAGTGTGGCAACAAATTGTTCTTGGACAGCGGTGGCCGTGAGAATGGCGGGCCATCCTCATGGGTCACTACCCGCCTCTCCAAGGAGACACGTTTGCCTAGAACATGTTCCACTTGGGTAGAAGAACGGTCCTATGGATTTTATGGTGGCAACGCTGTGCTTTGGTTTTTGACCAGGTTCGAGTCGAGGGAGAGGAGAGGATCGAACAGTTTAAGCATCACATACAAATGGAACTCGAATACAGATGGAAGTCTGTCAAACTCACCCTGGATACCCTCCATAGGCCAAAAGACATCGCGGAGAGGATAACGCAGTTTTCTAGGGAATGGTTGGGAGGTGATAGAGAAGGGTGGGTAGCAGATGTGAGTTGGTCAGGGGATGGGAAGGGATGTGAGGAGGGGGAGGAAGGACAAAGAGAGAAGACGGTGCCACGAGATTATCGATTGAAGTTTAAAGATTGGTTGAACATCGACTGCTGTGTACCCCTGAGACCAGCAGAGGACTTTCCGGACCCATTCCCGCCCCACCCACTGTCCCTGGAACTGCGAACATCGTGATACCCTTTCGTCTGCAGCAGAATGGCAGCCCTCCTTCAAGCTATCCATGCTTCTGTCTCAGTCTATTTCATTCTGATGCAGAGAGGGCACAGATGGGGGAGCGGGAGAAGGAAGGACCCACTGGTACCCCCCAGTGGGTCCTTCCAGAACCCTGTCCGGGCACAAGGTGGGAGAGAAAGTTAGGGACCACCAGGTTTCAGTGATTATAAGTCGGACCCAGGCAATGCTGGCAGGCATCTTCCCAGTCTATTTCATCCTAAGGCAGGGTGGGCACAGAGGGGGGCAGGAGAAGGGAGGACCCACTGGTGCCCCCCAATGGCTCCTCCCGGGACCCTGTCCGGGCGTAAGGTGGGAGAGAGGGTTAGGGGCGGCCAGGTTTCTGTGTTTTAAAGTCGGACCCAGGCTCACACCTGCGCAGTCAATCCTCTGGTCTCCAGAGTAATCAATGCTGGCAGGCATTTTCCAGACATCCTCCTCCAATCATTCTATGTATCATATTGGGCTCATATTGGGCTCATACTATGTATGGGACGCTGGACCCGTTTTCCAGCAGGTGAAGCTCCCCACCAATACATGGAGCCTCTCCCTAGGTGCTAGCTATGTCTGCTTCCAACAGCATGAAACTCCGAAGAAACAGTTTGTCACAGCCCCTCGTTTGTTGTCCTCTTCTCTCTCTCTGCCTACGGTTTACCGGGCAGTTCTGTTTGTGAC